CCAGGCTGGAGCACAGTGGTGTGAATTAGAGGCATTGCTTGTGGTGAAATAGTTAATAAGATTTATTTTTGTGCTTAAAAACTATGGATCATTGCATCTATGTATATTTGTCCATGCCAGTCTTGACCCTTAGATTTTGAATTTTGGGGTAGAAATGGTATATATCTGACTTAGAACCACAGAAACACCAAACACAGGGGCTAAGAATATTTCTAGAGGCCAGCTAGTTCCATGTCATCCCAACATGGCACGTCTCCACTGTGGGTAACAGAGATGATTTTAGGTGTAACATGAAAAAACAGTGTATAAGTTTATATAGTTATGTATATATCTTAATACATAAAATACATGTTATATGTTAGGGAAAGTTACAACTAGATTTTTAGGGAAAGCTGGTGCATCTTTCCCAGGATTTCATGGACATGATTGTGAGGAAAATGCCACATTAACTTATCTTTTAAAAGGGAGTTGCCATAAAGAACAAATATGATATGAACGCCATTATTGTAGCACATACAGATAGCAAAGATGGTGAGAGTTGTTTGCAAATAACTGAGGTTTGGGAAATAGTATTTAATCCGCCACTAAAACTCACAATTAAGGAAACAAGCTCAGGAGAATCGCCATGTTTCAGAGAATTTAAGATGCCATGGATCATAGGATGTGTCTTTTTGTTGTTTTTGTTGTTGTTTGGTTTTTTTTAGACATAGTTTTGCTCTTGTTGCCCAGGCTGGAGTGCAATGGCATGATCTCGGCTCACCACAACCTCCGCCTCCCAGGTTCAAGTGATTCTTCTGCCTCACCTTCCCAAGTAGCTGGGATTACAGGCATGCGCCACCATGCCTGGCTAATTTTGTATTTTTAGTAAAGACGGGGTTTCTCCATGTTGGTCAGGCTGGTCTCGAACTCCCAACCTCAGGTGATCTACCTGCCTCGGCCTCATAAAGTGTTGGAGTTACAGGCATGTGCCACCACACCTGGCCAGGATGTGTCTTAATATCAGAGACGCTAAAATATAAGGAAATGTAAGAATAAATGAAATATGAAAGTGGGTTACTCAAAATCAGACATCTAGGATTAAGATTATTTATTTATTTGTATTTATTATTAGTTTTTGAGCCAGGGTCTCACTTTGTCACCCAGGCTGGAGTGCAGTAGCGTGATCTTGGTTCACTGCAGCCTTCACCTCTTAGGTTCAAGTGAACCTCCTGCCTCAGCCCCCCAAGTATCTGGGACTACAGGTGCATGCCACCATGCCTGACTAATTTTTGCCCAGGCTGGTCTCAATCTCCTGAACTCAAGCAATCCACCCACCTCTGTCTCTCAAAGTACTACGATTACAGGAATGAGCCACCATACCTGGCTGGATTAAGAGTATTTAAAGGGTAATTTATTCTCTAAGAACTTTTCTACTTTATTTTTATTTATTTATTTTTTTAGATGGAGTCTCACTCTTGTCACCCAAGCTGAAGTGCAGTGGCACAATCTCGGCTCACTGCAACCTCCACCTCCCAGGTTCAAGCGATTCTCCTGCCTCAGCCTCCTAAGTAGCTAGAACTACAGGCACGCACCACCATGCCCAGCTAATTTTTGTATTTTTAGTTTTTGAGCCAGGGTCTCACTTTGTCACCCAGGCTGACAACATGCAACAGGTATGTTTCACCATGTTGGCCAGGGGTTTCATCATGTTGGCCAGGATGATCTCGATCTCTTGATTTCATGATTCACCCACCTCAGCCTCCCAAAGTGCTGGGATTACAGGTGTACGCCCTCTAGAACCTTTCTACTTTAATAGATGGTAAGTGTTCACCCAAAGGAATAACATTCTCAGGTTGGAACTTCAGGCATTGCCTGTGGTGAAATAGTTTTGGGCAATAGCCCTTCTGAAGTCATCCCTGCAGAAGATGCCTGTTCTCCTGTCAATTTCCTCCAGCCAAATATCATCAGGAACACAGCTGTAAATAAACAAGTTAGGTTTATTAACTCATTGCAGTGAGAGAGAACTGTGAACCGTCTCAGTTAGAAGTGTTCAAAAGGACATATGGTAGGATTTGGGCTTGAATTATGTGATTTTGAAAAGGGTTTGAGGAAGCTGGGCCTTGGTCTGGAATAGATGCTGTTGGTGAGCCAAGGCAATTCTATGATTTGGCATCCTAATAAATCTTTGCTAGAGGGTGAGAGAAATGAAGGTAAGCTAAAGCTGGGATTAGTAAGGAAAAAGCATTTACTTGTATTAGCCAGGGCAAAGGAACATTTGGTTATTTTTGTGGTTTGGACAATGTTCATGTTTTTGTTCATATTCAGATACAAGAGAGTGAGTGGTTCGGTCTTTGTGTTAAGCCATCACAGAGTGGCCTTATCTGATGTTAGTGTTGTATGAAATTGTTTATGTTCAGTAGAATAAGACCTGGCTATGAGTGCCAGGTCAACCCCTGGATGCTGGGGCTGCTCTTCCTTCTCACACCCAGGCAGCTCTCTCCTAAACTATCTTGCTCCATTTAGCAGAAGGATGGTTACCAGAGGCTGGGAAAGGTAGTGGGGCCTGGGCAGGGCAGAAAGGTGGGGTTGGTTAATGGGTATTAAAAAATATATAAAAAGAATGGGCCAGGCACGGTGACTTACACCTGAAATCCCAGCACTTTGAGAGACCGAGGTGGGCGGATAACAAGGTCAGTAGTTCAAGGCCAGCCTGGCCAATATGGTGAAACCCTGTCTCTACTAAAAATAGAAAAATTAGCCAGGTGTGGTGGTGGGTGCCTGTAGTCCTAGCTACTTGGGAGGCTGAGGCAGAAGAATCACTTGAACCCAGATGGTGGAGATTGCAGTGACCCGAGATCACGCCACTGCATTCCAGCCTGGGCAACAGAGTGAGACTCCATTTAAAAAAAAAATAGAATAAGTAAGACCTCATATTTGATAAGTTAATTTTACATTTTAAGATCACTAAACAAATGTAATTTATTTGTAGCACAAAGAATAAATGTTTGAGGGGACAGATACCCCATTCTCCATGATGCACCTATTTCATATTGCATGCCTAATCAGAATGTCTCGAGTACCCTATAAATATATACAACTACTATGTACCCACAAAAATTAAAAATCTAAACATTTTTAAAGATTAAAATGTCAGATGCAAATTGTCAGCAAGTTAAGAGTTTTGTATTATGCTAATAAATGTTAAGACCCATATTTGGACTTTGTGCTGGCAAATGCTTTAACTCAGAAAGTAATGGCCCTGCTATTTTATCTCTTCTAGAGAAGGTGATCTTCGGCCATCCATGACAATCAATACTCTACTTCAGTAAAGGTAATAATCTGTGTGCTTCTCAGTTCATCCTTTGGCAGCCAGCTCACAACACCCCTCTTTTTACATGACAAAGAGTAATTGCCCTACTGAGACTTCCCTGGGATTTCTGTGCTTGCTCAATAGCATTTTCTGGCGGTGGCAGAGCAAGAAAAGTATCTTAGAACCCTCTCAAGGCCTGCAATGCTAACAGCCACCACCTCCCAAGGCTAGAGGTATTATTAACTAGAGGTAAGTAGGAGGAAATGAAGGTAGACTAGTAGTTGCCAGGAGCTGGGTAGGAGTTTCTTTAGCGGTGATGAAAGCATTCTGGAATTAAATAGTAGTGATGGTTGCACAACCTTTTGAATATACTAAAAACCACTGAATTGTACACTCAAATGGATACATTTTATTATATATCAATTTATTTATTTTTTTTTTACAGCCCTGTACTATCTGTTGTCCAATTACAGAAAACACTTAATTTGTACATTTGTTTAGTTTCTAATTGTTAATAGTGTGAGGGAAACTTACTTATTATGTTGGTTGGTGCAAACATAATTGAGGTTTTTGCAATTACCTTTTTTTTTTTTTTTTTTTTTTGAGGTGGAGTCTTGCTCTGTTGCCCGGCTGGAGTGATCTCAGCTCACGGCAACTTCCGCCTCCTGGGTTCAAGCAATTATTCTACCTCAGCCTCCCAAGTAGTTGGGATATATATCAATTTAAAAAAACTTTTTAAAGAACTGAATAACAAGAGAGGTCAAATAACATTTCAGAAAGACTTATTGGTCATTGTTGGATTTGATTTTTTTTTTCAACTTTTAAGTTCAGGGGTACACACGCACAATGTGCAGATTTGTTACACAGGGAAACGTGCGCCATGGTGGTTTGCTGCACAGATCATCTCATCACCTAGGTATTAAGCTCAGCATCCCTTAACTATTCTTCCTGATGCTCTCCTCCCCCTGACCCTCAACCCCAAATCAGCCCTATTGTCTGTTGTTCCCCACAATGTGTCCATGTGTTCTCATCACTCAGCTCTCACTTCTAAGTGAGAACATGCAGTGGCTTGGTTTTCTGTTCCTTTGTTAGTTTGCTGAGGATAACGGCTTCCAAATCCATCCATGTTGCTGCAGAGGACATAATTGTGTTCTTTTGTATGGCTGCATAGTATTCCATGGTATATATGTACCACATTTTCTTTATCCAGTCTATCATTGATGGGCATTTAGGTTGATTCCATGTCTTTGCTAGGGTTTTATTTTGATTTTTGTCCCCTAAATTGGAGAGATTTCTAGTTCATCAGTAATCTGGCATTCAATATGACTAGTTCATTTAGTAACAGAGTCGTTAATAGTATTCAAAGCTTTCTTCTTTGGCTAAAGGTAACTAGTAGAATTGGTATTGTGATTGTGGTTAACTCAGTCTGCTCAACACAGCACTATCAAAAGTGTAAACTTCCTCTTTGGAGTAGTGTAGACTAAACCAGGGTGGGAGATTATATTCTGTTCTTGTAATAGGAAGCTTCATCTTTAAGAAATCAGTCAGTCGTGTTTTCAGAGAGAATCCATACTTGTCTTTTAAAATATTTTGTCATCAATTCTAGCAAAAGTCCAAATCACTAGTTTCTAAAGGATTTCTTTAAAGGCTAAAACTCAATTGAGGGCAATATATTAAGCCATTCTTACATTGCTATAAAGAAATACCTGAGAGTGGGTGATTTATAAGGAAAAGAGGTTCAGTTGGCTCACAGTTCTGCAGGCTGTATAAGCATGGCACCTGCAACGCTCACCTTCTGGGAAGGCCCCAGGGAGCTTTCACTCATAGCAGAAGGAAAAACAGGAGCAGGCATGTCACACTCATAAATGACCAGATCTTATGTGAATTCAGAGTGAGAGCTCACTTACCACCAAGAAGCTGGCCCAAGGTTTTCATGAGGGATCCACTCCATGATCCAAACATCTCCCATTAGGCCTTACCTCCAACACTGGGGGTTACATTTCAACATGAGATTTGGGCAAGGACAAATATTCAAACCATATTAAGTAATACTTAAAAAAGTAATAGAAATTATGTCATCCTGCAGAGATTTATAATACATACAAGGATGTCCCCAGCTCATTCATTCATCTGTGTGCCATGCATTTTGCCAGGCACTGGGGAATACACGGGTGAATTGGACACATCACCTGCTACCAGAGAACTTCAAGTGTAGTAACACAACTGAGCGTTCTTTTTATGTCACCTGGGTATATGGTCGGGCTGCATTTTGTTAGTTTGTTTAAGGTATTGTCGTATACTGATTCTACAATCATGGAAATTAAGACCTTGGACTTGGAAATAAAAAAAGAGAAAAGGTATTTTTATTCATTATTTAGGGAAAAAAAAAAAACTCCTCTCAAAGAGGAATCTGGTCTTTCCTTGGGACCTCTTTGAACCCTTGGGATGATATTTGTGTCAGTTCAGAGGGAAAGGACAGCTGCCTGGGCTGCTCCATCTGAGGCCCATTGTGCCATTTCCTCTGGGTAGTATGATATTAGCTAGTATTCTCATGCAGAAAAGAGCTCTCAAGTAATTGCAGGCTTCCAAATGTTTTTGAATATGAGCACCCCATTTTTAAAATAAATAAAATAATAAACTTCTACATGACAGTGGTTTAAGTAGCTATTGATTGAGAAAACACATAAGTAGGTCAAACAAATGCAATAATACTTTGAAATGGTTGTACATTTCAGTGTCAAAATATAGATATATACTTTCAAGTATATACAGCATCTATATATACTTGAAACATAGAATAGCGTTTCCTCAGTTTACACACAATTCTTTTCAACCATCAGATTTCCAAAAATTTAAAAGTTCTATGATACTCTGTGTTAGTGAGAGTGTGGCAAACTTCTATGCCCTGGGTGAAACAGAAAATTGATATAGCCGTTTTGGAAAGCAATCAGACAATATCTATTAAAAATTTAAATGTGCATTTTCTTTGACTCAGCTATTCCACCTTTACTTAAAAAAAAAAAAAGGTCTGTGACGTATTATTAAGAATTTAAGTTACAGAACAACACAAATGGGATAATCTAATTAATATAAAATATATTCATATGTGTAGTCTCAAAACCTACACAGAAGCAAGAGACATTGTTTAGCTAATTTACACGAGGATTTCTCAAATTTGGATAACGTATTGATCCCATAAAGGGAAACAGTTCTTTGGATACTTACTATTGGCTTAAAATTTTCAATCCTAAATTTTACTTAAGTAGGTATAAGTACTAGAAATCAGTGTACTCTTTATGTTTTAGCATTCATAGAAATATAAATCCAAAGATAATTTACAAATTAAATGCCTTAGGAATCTGTGTCATAAAAACCCCAATTCACAGATGATGTGCTAAGAATGAGATTTCTGATCCAGTTATAATTGTAGAAAGATATACAAGTCTATTGTAAACCATTTTGCATTTGGCTTTGTCAGTATTCTTTGTATTGTTATTACGCTAGAAAAAAATATGAAAAAACTTCAAGTCCATGTTTAAAATTCAAGATAATCAGACCACATTGAACCAAAACTGTAGACCAGTTTTAATAATATGATGCTTGGTAACTCCCCATTGGTTTTGGCCCCTTAAAAGTGAGGTTAATGTTGGCCAGACACAGTGACTCACTCCTGTAATCCCAGCACTTTGGGAGGCTGAGGTGGGAGGATCACCTGAAGTCAGAAGTTCAAGACCAGCCTGGCTAACATGTTGAAACCCCATCTCTACCAAAAATACAAAATTTAGCTGGGCATGGTGGCGGGCACCTGTAATCCCAGCTACTTGTGAGGCTGAGGCAGGAGAATCGCTTGAACTTGGGAGGGGGAGGTTGCAGTGAGCCGAGATCACATCACTGCACTCCAGCCTGGGCAACAAGAGTGAAACTCCATCTGAAAATTTTAAAAAAGTAAGGTTAAAGTTGTGATTTTTTTTTTAAGCATTAAATAGTCTGGGGCAACAGAAAATAATATCTGAATCTGCTCTGTTTTTTGTAGATGTTGAAAAAATGCATAGTTTCAACACAGTTCATAATCAAAGTTTAGAAAGAAAATGCTAAAAGCTGGAAATGAGTCATGTATATCATTTAGAAAATAACCAAAATTCAAATATTGTTTCTATATTTTCTATAATTGAAATGTTCAAGCTAGAATCATATCAGTATGATGTCCTGTGGCTTTCAGATAGACCAAATGCATCATCTTCATATTAAGTCTGCTTCTGGTTTTTTCTCGTTACTTTTCATTAATTAAAGTAGTGCATTACTCTTTTTAATTATGTTAATTTTCAGGATGTTAATTTGAATTCTCAACTTATTAAATAATTCTAAAAACTGAAGTCTTTGCATTTGAAAATGTCACTCAACTGTAAATTATCACAGCCAAAGGGAAGTTTCATCTTGATAACAAGAAAAGAAGTCAACGAAACGGTGACCGTTATCATTTTGATTCTGAGACCTGCCAACCTTAAGGCAGTCAGACTTGCTTTCAGACTCATAAATGATTAAAAACCAGAGAAGGATAGTCAAAGTGTTTATGGCATGAGTGGTAGCATTTCGAGTGACTTTTCACTTTTCTTTATCCTTTCATGTAGTATTTGAAACTTTGTATATGATAGTGATTGCTTATATAAACTTAAAAGTAGATGAGATGCAGTGGCTCATGCCTGTAATCCTAGCACTTTGGGAGGCTGAGGCGGGGGGGTGGGGTGTGGATTACCTGAGGTGAGGAGTTCGAGACCAGTTAGGCCAACATGGTGAAACCCTTAAAAAATAAAAAATAAAAAAATAGCCAGGCATGGTGGCATGCGGCTGTGGTCCCCAGCTACTCAGGAGGCTGAGGCAAGAGAATTGCTTGAATCCGGGAGACAGAGGTTGGAGTGAGCTGAGATCGCACCACTGCACTCCAGCCTGAGCAACAGAGTGAGACTCCATCTCAAAAAAAAAAAAAAAAAAAAAGCAAATGATAAATCTAATTTCACTATGGAAATTATTATAAAAAGATAAAATGCTATCATTGTAAGTTTCCACTTGATGCCAAAAGATTTTAAACACAAATGAAAATGAGGGCTATAGAATTGAAGTCTAGCCTTCAGTTGAATGTGGTCATCTTCTGGTATCAGGATGGTGGACTTTTTCATATTTAATCATTGAGATGGCTATACAAATGAATAGATAAAATTAAAAATAATTTTGTGGGCTGGGTGCGGTGGCTCACACCTGTAATCCCAGTACTTTGACAGACCAAGGCAAGCAGATCAACTGAAGTCAGGAGTTCTAGACCAGCCTGGACAACATGGTGAAATGCTGTATCTACTAAAAATACAAAAAGTAGCTGGGCATGGCAGTGGCCATTTGTAATCCAGCTACTCAAGAGGCTGAGGCAGGAGAATCGCTTGAACCTGGGAGGCAGAGGTTGCAGTGAGTCGAGATCACGCCACTGCACTCCAGCCTGGGTGACAGAGTGAGACTGTCTCAAAACAATAATAATAATACTTTTGTGTAAAGAACTTGTGGGCCTCAGACAATATCTGCAGAATCCCTAGGGATCCTTGAACCTGGCTGAAAAAATACTTTATATCCTTATATGTTGGTTAAAGTTTTTACAGTCAACAAGATATAAGTAAGTGTGCTGTCTTTCAGTCCCCCACCTTCTCACCTGCTCTCCCATTTCCATTGCAGGGTTCTCTCCCCTTGTGTGTGTCTACCTAGAACTTCTCCTGGTTCCTTTCAGTTGCTCTTGTCTCACCAGAAAGTTCTCTGATACATGGACAGGACTGCTATAGAAACAGCCAGCTATGTAGCATGACCAAACCAGAAAAGAACAGACCAAAGATTGGATGCCATGCAGGAAGCCCAGTATGCACTGAGTCCCAGCTAGGATTGAGAGGTGAGAGGGATCCCAGGGTTTTAAAGCCTAAAACTGTAGATATTGGCTCCATATTGGAAAGCAAAGTCCCTGAGTGCTGCTGATTGGCTACCAGTGTCAAGGTTTGAGGCTAGGGAGCACTGAGTCCCTTGGAGAGTCTCCAGTGTACCTCCAGTGTCCACCCACAATGCCAGGTTCAGCACCTCTGCTGTATGGGTGATGCACCTGGATTTTGGAGCCTAGCCAGGTTTGCAGGTTGCATGGCCTGATCGGGATTAGTCAGCATCTAGAAGATGGTTTAAAGCACCCACTTTACAAGGAGACTCAGAAAGATAGAGGAAAGCTTAAACATTAGCTTTACTTAAACTCTACCTCTTACAAATGGGAGAAAAGGAGTTCAGAGTTCATGGTGATTGTTACTTGCCCAGTGGACCCACTGGAAATAGAATCCAGTTCTCTTGACTCATCTCAGAGCTCTTTGAAATTGCAACATATTGCAAAATCACCTTTAATGAAATAACCACCATATCCCTTCCAGAAAAACAAAAACAAGGTATGAAGTGTCCATATTCAGCAAGACGTTGTAAGTAGCACCCACTAAGCCAGAATTTTGTCAAAAAGAGTTGCCTTTTATGAACTTCCCTACTGCTTCCCCTCTCTCAGGCTGGGCTCCCCAGAAGAGGACTCTGACAGAGTCAGATGTATGTGCAACCCCAGTGTCAAAGAGCGTGCTTCAGGAAACCCAAAGGGAATAGGGGAAGCAGGATGAGGAAGGGAGAGAACTCAAGCAAGGGTGTGATTCAGGCAAAGTCTAGAGAAAGGGAACCAACCTGATCCCACAGGGGACCTCTGGAGTGGAAGTTACCCTTCAGAGTTCTGTCTTCATGACTTGAGCAATAAGATTGGCATTTCATACCAATCTGTTTTGACCAAGGCCTGCCTTCAGTAGTTTAAACTCCTGGGTACCTCCAGCTGCTGCACAGGCAGGCAAAGCTGCTTCAGGGCCCAAGGGCAGGCCTCTGCAGAAAGCCACAGGTGCAGGCCACAGAAAGCACAGGGGCCGGGGAGGGGCACACAAAACACGACAGGGGATGTGGGGAGGAGTGGCAGTGTCCACGACATGCCCAGAATCCCACAATGCAGTCTTCTGTTGGATCCTTTCCCTGTTTCTTCTATAAACAAAATTAAACAGACTTGAGAAAAATGCATCATAGCAATGAGTCCGTTAGATCAGAGGTCAGTAAACTTTGCCCATAAAGATAGTAAATATGGCCGGGCACGGTGGCTCACGCCTATAATCCCAGCACTTTGGGAGGCCAAGGCGGTGGATCACGAGGTCAAGAGATCGAGACCATCCTGGTCAACAAGGTGAAACCTCGTCTCTACTAAAAATACAAAAATTAGCTGGGCATGATGGTGCGTGCCTGTAGTCCCAGCTACTCGGGAGGCTGAGGCAGGAGAATTGCTTGAACCCAGAAGGCGGAGGTTGCGGTGAGCCGAGATCGTGCCATTGCACTCCAGTCTGGGCAACAACAGCAAAACTCCATCTCAAAAAAAAAAAAAAAAAAAAGATAGTAAATATTTTAGGCTTTGTGGGTCATAAAGTATCTGTTGCAACTATTCAACTTTGCCAAATGCAGCCACAGACAATACATAAGCAAATGGGTGTGGCTGTGCTTCTATAGTATTTTATGGACACTGAAATTTGAATTTCACATCACTGTCACACATCATATAATATTCTGCTTTTTGAATTTTTCCAAATATTCAAAAGTATTAAAGCCATTCTTACCTTGCAGGTCATACAGACAACAGGCAGTGAGCTGGTTTTGGCTCGAAGACAGTTTGCCAGCCTCGGCTCTAGATCAGTGGCTTGTGGACTCTTTTGATCATGACTGTAAGCAAAGAATTTAATTTTATATTAAACCTAGAACACATACATAAAACACATACATAAACACACATACACATATGTAATTAGAACTGAAGCTTCCTAAAACAGTTCTTATGTTTTCCCTGAACTGTAAACTCTGATGTTCTCATTTTTATCCTCCCTGATTTTGTTTTGAAATGCTGTCGTGATCCACTGAGTTGTTTCTCCAGCCCCCAATGGGTCATGCCACTCACTTCCGGTTGGAAAGCCCCCCATTGAAGTCTATGCTCTGCATGGTGGCGGTATTGCAGTCACAGTGGCTGTTTTGTATTCATCAGCTCTGATGTTACTTGGAATTTGTCAGTAAGTAACATAAAGACCAAAAAAAGATGCTATCACAAACCTGTCAAGGGCAGCATGACAGGATTGCCTGCCTCAACCTGCCTGGTACCAGGTGTTTCAGGAAATTTCAGATGGCTCCCCTGTCGTTCTTGATGTGTGATGCATGCATTTCATTTGAACTGAGCAGAATTCAGAGCAAACAGAGAATTTAAAGTAACTGCAAGTCCCAGCCTGAAACCTCGTGTTTGGCAATTTTGAAGAGACTCTGGGCAATTTGCATTATAGCCATGTTTGTCACCAGCTGAGGTATTTGAAAAGTGTGACAATTTCAAATAGCAACCTCCTGGTATAACTCAGCTAAGTACTAAGGTAGACTAGACCATGGTTGGCTTAAAAAATAAAAGTTCACTGTGATTAGAGGACAAAGGCTCGAATGCTCAGTATATTTTTCTAATCCAGGACAGCTCTGCATTCCTCCCCTTGCAGTTCAGGGGTCGGGACTGGCTCTGGAAAACAGGAACTGGATGGAACTAACCTTTGTCACTTCCCTTTGTCCATTTCCCTCTTGTCACTCTTCTCTGACTTCTCAGTCTTGCTTTCATATCTAGATATTAAAGGTGTGGTGAGGGAGGCAGGGAGGGAACACTTTGAAATCCTTTTTAAAGGCCATGCACTGTGGCACATGCCTGTAATTCCAATACTTTGGGAGGCCCAGGTGGGGTGACTGCTTGAGGCCAAAGTCTCAGACAAAGCCTGGGCAACATAGCAACACCCCATCTCTACAAAAATTTAAAAATAATGAAATTCTATTAAAAGACCTTACGCTTATTCCTATTTTCAGTATTCTCCTCCCATCTCCTATTCCCCCCAACCCCTATGCATGATGATGTTGGGGATCTTTCTGCTCCTTTCTCTCCCAAACTTCAATTCAGTTTGGCTTCAAACATGTCTTTGTGCACATTGCCTGTGCTAGACCAGGAGGATGGTAGTTGATGAGATAAGAAGAAGGAGACTGTCATGTTGAACCACGCTAAGAATTTGGGCTTTTATATGAGTGAAATCAGGAAAATGTACAGGGTTTTGAGCAGGACAGTGGCATGATCTAATTAATGTCTTATAAGGATCATGGATGCTCCTTTAAAAATAGACTGAGGTAGGGCAGGAGTGGAAACAAAGAAACCAGTAAGAAAGCTGTTGTCAAAATTCTCATGAGAGATGATGCGCCAGAGTGTGGCAGTGGAGACAGTAAGGGTGATCAGATTCTAGATATATTAAAATGTACAGCCAATATGATTTTCTGATGAATTAGACATGGAATGTGAGAAAAAGACATTAAGCATAAAGCTAGGTGTACTAAGTCTCTATTGCTCCCTAGAAATTAGCATAAAACTTAGTATCCTAAAACAATTAATATTATAGTCTCACATGGTTTCGTGGGTAAAGACTTGGGAAGTGGTTTAGCTGGTGGTTCAGTCAAGATATTGCAGTCCAAATGTTGGGCAGGGCTACAGTGATCCGAAAGCTTGACTGGAGCTGGAGGACCTACTTCCAAGATAGCACATTCATATGTGTGGTTAGTTGGTGTTATCTGTGGGCAAGTACCTCAGGTCCTTGCCATATGAACTTCCCCATAGGGCTGTTTGTGTGTCCTCATGACATGACAGCTGGCTTCCCCCAGAGCAAATGTTCCAAAAAAAAAAAAAAAAAAAAAAGCAAGATGAGTGCAGCTGTGTCTTTTAAGATCTAGTCTTGGCCGAGCACAATGGATCACACCTGTAATTCCAGTACTTTGGGAGGCTGAGGCAGGTGGATCAAGAGGTCAGGAGTTCAAGACCAGCCTGGCCAACACGGTGAAACCTCATCTCTACTAAAGATACAAAAAATTAGCTAGGTGTGGTGGCACGTGCCTGTAATCTCAGCTACTTGGGAGTCTGAGTCAGGAGGATTGCTTGAATCCAGGAGCTGGAGGTTACTTGAATCTGGGAGCCGGAGGTTGCAGTAAGCCAAGATCACACCATTGCACTCCAGCCTGGGCAACAGGGTGAGAGTCCGTCTCAATTCACAATTCACAATAGCAAAGACTTGGAACCAACCCAAATGCCCATCAATGATAGACTGGATAAAGAAAATGTGGCACATATGCACTATGGAATACTATGTAGCCACAAAAAAGGATGAGCCCATGTCCTTTGACGGGATATGGATGAAGCTAGAAACCATCATTCTCAGCAAACTATAACACAGGAACAGAAAACCAAACACCGCATGTTCTCACTCATAAGTGGGAGTTGAACAATGAGAACACATGGACACAGGGAGGGGAACATCACACACTGGGGCCTGTCAGGGGATGGGGTGGCTAGGGGAGGGATAGCATTAGGAGAAATGCCTAATGTAGATGATGCGTTGATGGATGCAGCAAGCCACCATGGCACGTGTATACCTATGTAACAAACCTGCACGTTCTGTACACGTATCCCAGAACTTAAACTATATTTAAAAAAAAAAAGGAGAGATGGTGAGGGGCCTACTTCTCCTTAGCTGCATTGAATGCAGTTTAAGATAATGCTACTGTGAGGGGATGATCAAGACAATCACAGAGAACAGATAAACAAAATGTAGCATATCCATATAATGGGATATTCTTCCACAATTAAAAGATGAAACAAAAATGATTCCTGTACACCATGGGTGAACCTTGAAAACATTATGCTAAGTGAAAGAACCCAGACAATAAACCCCATGTATTATATAATTTCATTTATATGAAGTGTCCAGAATAGGCAAATCTATAGAGGTAGAAAGTAGATCGCGGTTTCCTAGGGCTAGGAGAGGAGCAGGGGCTGGGGAATGACTGTTAATGGGTATGAGGTTTCTTTGAGGGATGAAGAAATGTTCTAAAATTAGACTTTGGTAATGGTTGCACCATTCTGCAAATATATTGTAAGCTAACAAACCATATACTTAAAAAAAAAAAAAGATCTAGCCTCAGAAGTCACATACCATAATTTTTGCAAGTCCTATTAGTTACATAAGGAGGCATATTCAGTATGAGATGGGACAAAAAAGAGTGAAGCAGGGACTGCTGGTGGCCACCTTGAAGGCTGGCTATCACAGCGTGTCCCCAGAGGCCCATTTATTCATGTCCCAATGTGCAAAATATATTTCCTCCTGTCTAAACCCTTCCAGAAGTATCATACCTTTATATCACTGATTCAAAATCCTGTTATCTAAATCATCTAACCATGAATGAATGGAGTGTCATTTACTGAGAAGAGGAAAACTAGAAACAAGTTTAGTGGGGAATATTAAGTGATGATTTAGGTATGTTAAGTATGAGATTTCTATTGAGCTGGAAGTAGAAATTTCAAGTATACAACTGAATGTGCAAAACATGGGTTCAGAGAAAACAGCTGGACTGGATATATAAATTTTGGAGTTTTTTGGCTGGGCACGGTGGCTTACGCCTGTAATCCCAGCACTTTGGGAGGCCGAGGCAGGTGGATCATGAGGTCAGGAGTTCAAGACCAGCCTGGCCAACATGATGAAACCTCGTCTCTACTAAAAATACAAAAATTAGCTGGGTGTGTTAGTGTGCCTGTAATCTCAGCTACTGGGGAGGCTGAGGCAGAGAATTGCTTGAACCTGGGAGGTGGAGGTTGCAGGGAGCCAAGATTGCACCATTGCACTCCAGCCTGGGGGACAGAGAAAGACTCCACCTAAAAAAAAAAAAATGGGGGTTTTTAGTGTATGAGTAACAAAATTTAAGTTGGAATAAATTCATAGGGCACTGAGTATACATAAAAATGAAAAGAGGCTCTCCAACATTTGGATGTCAAGAAGATGAGGAGGCACAAGAAAAGAAATCCATGATATGACTGAAAAGAAATAAGAATAGTTCCATGATATGCTCATGCAAATCAGTCCCCTTATGCTATACTCCACAATGCTTCCTGTAGTTTCTAATGTCACACTGCCATTATGACTGTATTAGCTGGAAATTACATAGCCTCAGCTTAGCTTCTAAAAGGATCCAGTCTTACTCCTAGTTGACTAGGAGTCAGGAGCCAGAAGACTGTGTAATCTTCTCCTGTGTTACATTTTGGTCAGTGTCAAGTTCTTGTACAAACAACAGAGGTCCTCTGTCTTTTAGGCTCCCCTCTACTTCCTTTTTCTATCCCTTTCTCCCCATGGTCTCTGGCTCATTTTACCTCCACTCTTTTTATTTGCACCAGTCATTCCTGTTTGCTTTTCACACTTTTCTCAGTGGAGCATGCTGGGCTATTCTTGCTAGAATGACAAGTTTTCATTGATATCACTGCAGCTGCCACCATCATGGCAGGCTGTACCTTCAAGGACTTTCCTCTGCATAGCACTCCCTGACAAAATATATCCACCAAAGTCCCTTTGGAACCAGTCATAGGAGCCTTCTAACTTTGGGAAAATTCCAACAACACAGAGGCCAGCATGACAGATGATAGGCAGAGCAGGGCTGGACTGTACGGCTGCTAGCCTTCAGATCCAGAGTCATGTCTGTGGTCCAAAACCCCAGGGCTTGCCTGCAATGTGCCTATGTCACCGATTTGCCCTTCAACCCTTCAGTCTTTCTGGAAGGAGCCAGATCCAGCAAGGCGGTGTGTGTAGGCTTGGTTACCCTGACATCTGCATTATGTTCCTCCTTTTCCTGTATCTTATCTAAAGCAGGATGATATGAACAAGGCACGTGGGCCTCTGGGCTTCTGTGAGGCTGTGCAATCAACATGCAATGTTGATGGTTTGAGGCATGTACTCAGAGATTTGTGTCGATCCACAGGGCTGCTCTGTCTAGCCTGATGTTTCTCCGTGGGGGCTCTACCAGCAATTTGGGCAAGACAGTTCTTCATTGTGCAAACTGTCCCAAACATTACAGGATACCTAATATCCCTGCCACACTCCCACCAAAACACTAGTAGTACCCACCAATTATTGTGACAACTGGTAGCCGCCCTGTGCTTCCCTACACAGTCCTGCTCCAGGTAAAGCAGCTCCAGGATGACCTCTCTTTGGCTACTATTTTGCCCCTCTCCTCAGCATTATTTTTATCTTTGAGAATGAGAAAGTCATGCAGTAGGCAGAATTCTAAAGATTCCCATCTCCTGGTTGTTAAACATTAATCTAGGTTCTGCTTTGGACTTGTGGATGCAATTAAGGTGACCAGCCAGCTGAATTTAAAGTAGGGAGATTATCCTGGATTATCTGAGTGGGCCCAGTGTAACCATGTGAGTCCTTAAAACAAGCTGCAGAAGGCAGAAAAGTCAATCAGAGAGATGAGGCAGAAGGGGAAGTCAGGGACACTTGAAGCATGAGGACTCAGCCTGCCATTGCTGAAGGAGGAGGTGCATATGGAAAGCATGAGAGGAAATGTAGAAGCCTCTGGGAGAAAAGATCATTCCCTACCGGCAGCCAGCAAGGAAGCAAGCACTTCAGTCCTACACACACAAGGAACTGAATCTGGCCAACATTGTGAATCAGCTTGGAAGCAGATTCATCCCCAGAGCCTCCAGAATGGAACCCTGACCTGCCAACACCTTGATTTAAGCCTTGTGAGGGTCTAAGCAGAGGACCCAGCAGAACCATGTTGTACCTGGACTTTCAACCCACTGAACTGTGATTTAATAAATGGCTGTTATTTTAAGGTGCTAAGCTTGTAATTTGTCATGGAAGCTGTAGAAAACTAATACACCCTCCCAAGAAGCTCATTCTATCTTTAAATAGCCTCCTTGTAAGGAGATGTCTCCTTACTTATTGTGCTAAGATCTTCACTCTGTTCCTTCCACCATCAGACCTAGTTTTCTTTCTTTTTTTCTTTTTGAGACAGAGTTTTGCTCTGTTATCAGGGCTAGAGGGCAGTGGTATGATCTCGGCTCACTGCAACTTCTGCCTCCCAGGTTCAAGTGATTCTCCTGCCTCAGCCTCCTGAGTAGCTGGGACTATAGGTGTGTGCCACCACGCCCCACTAATTTTTTGTGTTTTTAGTAGAGATGGAGTTTCACCATATTAACGAGGATGGTCTTGACCTCCTGACCTTGTGATCCACCTGCCTCGGCTTCACAAAGTGCTGGGATTATAGGCTAATTTTACTTATTGTAGCCATGTAGACCGACACTGCTATAAATGGAAGGCTATATCTGAGCCTTCTTTTCCTTTAACCAAAGATTCCCTGTGCATTCTCCACCCTGATTACTTTTTTGTAAATGTATTTTGTCTTGTTTAGGTCCCTAGATTTATATTCTAGATAATGGGGAATTTAATGACAAAGTAAGTTTTCAAAAAGCCCTTACTAATCTGAGGTGTTTTACCCTTGCATTATAAAGAAGAAATTTTCTATCTTTATCACCAAAGAGAAACATCGTTTTCTGTATCATCGACCATTCTATTGTCCATAGTAGAAAAGCATCATTTAGAATGACCTGGAATTGAGGAAAATGAAGTCGAAAATTGTCAGGAAGCTTTCACAAGTATGAAACTCTGTGAACATTATTATAGGTTGTGATACTTAATGAGGATTAAAATTCAATGCTTAGGAAGTTAAAGGAATTTTGCCGAGTGAAATGAGCTCAATGAAAAGCAGCAGCATCTGGGAATTAGGATATTGTATTCCGTATGTCCAGCTGGGCTTCTGATTAGAATCAGTTTCCTTGGTTGGTTCTTGGAACATGGGGCAGGACCAAGGGCTTTGCCAAGATATCAGGGAAGGCAGGTGGGGCTGATTATTGCCATGATCCGCAACTTAGAGCTCCTGAAAGCTTCCAGCAGCATGATTCATGACTGACTAGAACAAAAATGGACAAAGGAGAAGCAACAGCCTTATGATGGGAGGAAAACTAACAGGGCAAAGAACATTTGAGTCTTCATTAAAATTACTGAGTATGCCAAAAAAATGACTTTAAAATTACACAACATAAGGAAATCATGGCTATTGGGAATACTTTGGAAAGTAACCAAAAAAAAAAAAAACTAGATTCAATAATTAGGAAGTGAGTAATTATCTCGTTTGCTTTGTGTTGCCACTGAACCATTTCCAGTTTCATACATACAGAGGTATTTTCCTCAATTAAATTTTAGTACTTTTGCAAGAATGGTTATGTCTTAAGATTTCTTTGAATAAGATAAATAGCATGTTCTCAGAAACTCTCAATTAATTGAACTGAATGAAATTGCCTGTTGACTGGCTGAATAATGAATGAAATCATTGTTGTTCTAATTAAAATACAAGTCCTTTGGGAGAAAGCTAGATTGAGTTGGAAGAAACCATATGTTCCTGATTCCTCCATCCTTCCAGTTTAAATGACCTATAGCCCTGAGGTGTTTTTCAAAGTGTGGCTAAAAGACTTCTGCATTAGAATTGTCTGGAGATGCTTGCTTAAAAATGAAGAATTCTATACCCTACTGCCCTAGACCCACTGAATCTGGAAGAGATGGCTATTTGCATTTTTCTAAAATTGAAGCATAACTTACATGCAATTAAATACACAGATTTTAAGGGCATCTTTCAATGGGATTCAACAAATGTGTATACTCCACCACCTCAACCAATACTTCTATCACTCTAGAAAGTTTCCATGGGCCCCTTTCCAGCTAGTCACCCACCCTCCCAGAAGTGACCACTGTTCTGATTTCTATCACGTGTGTATACTCTTTTGAGCCAGGCTCCTTTCATTTAACATAATGTTTTTGAGAGTCATCCATGTTGTTTTATACATATTGTTCTTTTTCGTTGTTAAGTAATATTCCACTGTGATACATATAGAATATGGTATGATTTGTTCATACAACCACCTGCTGAGGGGCATTTGGGTGTGTATTTTTTTTTTTAGGCTGTATAACAAATTACCACAAACATAGCAGTTTAAAACAACATACATTTGTAAGTTGAGTCTCCCTTATCTGAAATGTCTGGGACCAGAAGTATTTTGAATTTGGATTTTTTTCAGATTTTGGAATATTTGCATTGTACTTACTAGTTAAACATCCCAAATCCAAAATACAAAATGTTGCAATGAGCATTTCCTTTGAGCATCTTGTTAATGCTCAAAAAGTTTTGGATTTTGGAGCATTTCAGATTTTGGATTTTTAGACTTAGGATGTCCAGTCTACATTAGCTCACAATTTCCATGGGTTGGAGCTGAGACATGGCTTAGTCTGGTCTTCTGCCAGGGTCTCGCAAAGCTGCAACCACAGTGTCAGCAGGCTCCATTACTGTCTGGAGCTCAAAGTTCTCTTCCAAGTTCACATGGTTGTTGGCAGAATTCAGGTATTTTCAGTTGTAGGACTGTGGATCTTGGCTCTGTACTGGCTGTCAGCTGGAAGCTGCCCTCTGCAGTTCCCTGCCACATGGCCTTTTCCAAGGGCAGTTTACAACATGGCTGTTTACTTCTTCAAGGCCAGCAGGGAAGTCTCTCTCTTCAATCTGCTAAAATGGAGTCTTATATATGTAACATAATCATAAACATATGACATTTTATGATCTTTGCTATATTGGTTAGGAGCAAGTCACAAGTTCCACCCACACTGGAGGAGATTATACAAGGAAATTATGCGGATTTTTGGGAGGCCACCTTAGGGTGTGTCCACCGGAAGGCATTTTGCGTTCTCAGCGATTATAATATTAGCACACAAGTCTTTGTGTGAACATATGCTTTCACTTATTTAGGGTAAACACCTAGGAGTGGAGTTACTTGGTCACAGGGTAGGTGTATGCATAACTTTGTAAGAAAATGCCAAACTGTTTTTCAAAAAGGTTGCACAGTTTTATGCTCACATCAGCAATGTAATAAACGTCCCAGCTGCTCCACATCTTCACCAATATTTGCTGTTGTCTGTCTTTGTCATTTTAGCCACTTTCTACTGATGTGAAATCTGCATTTTTAATATGCTTTGTGGGTTCTTCTTGCACATCCTCCACCACTGCTTTGTAGAAGTGAGTCATAGAGAAACTGCCTGAGACTACGCAGCTCTTGCTATGGGTCCCTCAGAAGTCAGTCCCCCAACCTAACTAATCAGCCTGGCTCACAGAGAGCACATGTTAAGAACATAGATTCTGGGCCCTATTCTAGACCTCCTGAATGAGCATCTCCAGGAGTACAAATTGTGAATCTATTTTTCAAAAGCCCACCAGATGATTCTTTGAACTGCTGGGATTTAGAACCACTGCCTTCACTACTTCAAGACCCAGAAGTGTCTCTAGTATGCTCCTCACACAGAGAAAATGTCCATAAAGTGGGGCTAGGACTCTGCGATGGCACCACAGCCATCCCTGCTTATAACATTGAAAAATTATAAGTTGAACCACTGTACAGAGACCACATATACAGTTAAACTGTTTCCAGTTTTTTACTCTTGATAACAATGCTGCAGCCAACAGCTTAGAACATTTTCTTTTATGCTGATGTGCATAGGATAAATTCTTGAAAGTGAGGTTGCTTATTCAAAGAGGTAGGGCTTCCTTAATAACATCCGTTAGCACATTAGTGCTTATTTGTTTCTTCTTATGTTAATGACACAATTTCATGCGAAAAAAGAAGTTCAGGGAATTACAGCTCAGGTGTTTTGCTTTGCTAACAAGACCTATATTTCTTATCTTAATCTCCAAATGTAACTCAATCATTGCAAGACACACTCCCTTTCAATTTTCAGGAAGACATTAAATTTCTTTAAGAAGTAATTCATAGAAAAATACTTGTTGAGTACGTGTTACGTGCCTAACAGGCCCGGTGACATGACGTGAGCACTAGATGGAACCCCGGAAAGAAGATAGACAATAAATCAAGCAATTGCAACCCAGGATGCTGGGCGCAGAGCCCTGTGGGGGCACACAGCAGGGATGTCTAATCTCATGGGGGAGTGATCAAGATTTCTCCAGGATTCTTATTCTCTAACCATTGTTTTGTTAAAAACATGTTCATATGAATAGACGTTTGTGCATTCCTCTCTGATTAACAGTCTTTCCCCCTCAGGACAGATCCAGGGTAGTTACCTGTCTGTGATGAAACCTTTCGGAGGACTGCTCAATCCTTTGCTCCCACCGCAGTGAGAAAGATGGAGGAATGGACACTCAGGAGGACGGGTCATATGGCCAGCTAAACATTCGAATACCTGTGGTGAACAGTTGATGGATATGGAGCAAGAATTAGAGCCCTAGCTGTGCTGCTAGTTGATTTCTTTTGAGTTGCATATCTTTGCCTCTTCCACAGGAAAAAATAAAATACCAGTGTCTCAACAACCTGTAGATAGAGGGTGTCCGAAACGTTTGGGGTCATAGGACAAATCTATTTTTAAATGGTATGCTCAATAGTCTTTCTTCAATCTCCAGACAGCTTTTCAAATAAAATTCTTCTAAATTTCAGTATATACTACAGAGGGCTCAAAGAAGTCTGGACACAGAGAAAACAAGTACGTACTGCATTTTTTCAAATGGACAATTGGACTCATTGCTTTAAGTTGAGAAGTTCTGCACCTGAAAAGATGTCTGGAGAGTGAAGAAAAATGATTGAGCACAGTATTGGAAAATACAACCGACATACCGTTTAAACATAAGTTTGTCCTATGTTGTCCAACTTTTCAAATACCCTGTGCCTTGTCCATTTAACCCTCAAAGCAAGTATGGTTGCTGAGGTCAGGGTGGTTACACGAGTTGCCCAAGGTCTCCCAAAGACTCAGTAGCCTGAACCATGATTTAAACTTCACATATCTGAGACCCAAGCTTACCTGCTTTCTCCTTCACGGCATCACCTCTGAGCTCAGACCACCACAGAGTGTTATTGTTAGACCACAATATCTTTCTGACACCTTCATTGCTGCCTGATTCTATTAGTCACAGGCTCATCTTTTAGCATCGTGGGCTTCAGGAACCTTTTGAGGACATGAATGAAAGTTATGGACCCCTCTCTAGACAACTGGAATTTTGTGTTCCGTATAAAGGCATGCACAAGACCCCTAAATGCAACCCTAGACTCCCTTGGGGATCATAAACCCAGGTAAAGAATCCTTTCTTTTGGCTGTAAAGTTCTGAAAGACAAAGTCTAGACCTTATGTGCAGATGCCTTAGAAACTGTTGGAGGGAGTGTAGGGAGGCAGTGAAGCAGAGAGGAAGGAAGAGGAAATCTTTCCAATAGTAAGGATGCTATGGAACATCATAAGGCTCAAGGAATGATATTAATAGTTTCCTTCCCTTTCAACAGAGCCATGTAATTATAAAGGACACTCACAAGGCAGTAGCTGTCAGTGCTCCACTTCTTATCTGTGTTGCTACCACAGCCTGTGAGCACATGAATGTGCACCCATGCATGCACTCCAACCCCAACCTCTCTTGGAGTTAGAGGCACAAGCAAGGACAGGAACACATGCATTTGGGTCTGTTCCATGGGGTACCTAGGAGGCTTAAAAGCTATTTTCTACCTCCTATATAAATGGAAACTGACCCTTCTTTGAGGTGCTGGCCGTTTTTGATGTTGAAATTTTTTTATATTGCTGGGAATCAGAATTATCTATCATTATGTATAATTTCCTAGGGAACGGGATGCAATATTATACCAAGCTTCAAGGCACTTTTGAATATTGACTGTTCACTCCCTTCAAGCTCAAGAAAGATGTTGGGAATGAATCAGTATCCCTCAAATTTTCCTCCTGGGCACTCCTTTTCCCTCCCTCCCTCCTACCACCCTCCCGGCATCTCCTGCCATGCCCTACACACCCTGTTCTGATGGCTTTATTGCTCCTCTGGGAAGCATTTCTTACAAACAAAAATAAGCAAAGCACTCAGCTCGCATAACAGCTTCCATCCTTGTGTGAGGTTCTCATTCACTA